ATTACCAATTTATTACAGCACCCCGTCACTTACATCTGCTCACTTAATCCTCTGTAATTATGTGAAATCTTCAAATTGTAATCACTTATTATGTAACCCAAATTTTCAGTTCTTAAATCCACGGATCATTTATAACCTATAGGATTTTCACACCACTTTTCTGTCTGTGAAATCCAGTCCACTATTACACCACCCATCCTTAATGTTTTATTGATTGTTAAAAGCAAATAACCTTTGACTTTAAACTGCATATATATATATATACTTATGTATATAGTCATTATTGATAACCTAAGTTATTTCAATTGTTCATATTCAGGTATGTCAAATGTTTCCCACACCACTGTTAAGTCCTAATATATATTTAGTTGTAAGCAGTTGACGAGAAACTACGAAATATAATGAATGCATACCACGGTTCATCAGCATTTCTCCTGGTTTCATTTTAATTCATAAGCGGAACTAATCACATGAAATTAAAGTCTACTTATCCACTGATACTAATTTGATGATAAACGTAATCCTACGAAGGTGAATATGTTATGTGGGTGCCTAATCTATAAGACTTTACGTGGATGTAGGGTTTCTTACTCCTTCTTAATTATTACAGACACTTACACGTGAACATCATTGCTATTCATTCCCATGAAAGTAGGAATAAGATTAAAATAATAATTATGCAAAATTTTATTAAATAATCATTACTGCTGAAGCAGAAAATCAAGTTTACAAGTTGGTATTAAGAATTCTTAGGTAGCAATTGTTCACTTTCTTCTCAACTTCCGTTGCGAAACTTTCACCATACTTCACAATGATGCGATGCTTATTGATTCTTTGGCTTCGTTGAATGCCTATGTACACTTCACTCCGTCTTGGTAATGCAGTTCTTGTATTATTTTGGAAGTTCTGCGTAATATGTAACTTCCATCTGCTGCAATATCTAAGAACTTGATGAGCTATGCAGATTATATTTCATAATTGATATAGCTTACCTGTAACAGTTCGTCTTTTAACGTATGCAAGTAGCATATGACGGCACGGATATCGACACGTAGTAAACGTGCTACAATTGCATTGACAAATGCTTACATCCACTTCATAATGTTGTCCGCGGTCAATCATAAACAACCAGTCGCCGCTTTCATATTCCACGTAAACGAAACTCATTTTCTCAAGTTCGTATAACACTGTGGATCTTGAGAATGAGGTCAACATGTTCAACAAGGGTATAAGACGCTGTGGAGCATTATATTTATAAGATCTCCTGGCCATTACTTGATATTCGATACTTTTCCCAGTTGACGTCATTTCACTCCATTTTAAAGCCTTAAACATACATTTGTACAGACTGTCACTCTTCCGTATATATCGCTTTATCTGCCTACTTAGTGACTCAACACGATTATTCGTGCTGTTACCCAATGTTAAAACATTACCGTGAAACGCACGCGCCCACATTGTCTTACGTGGCATCCAAGAACGTGATAGGTACTGGCCTGTCACTCTGTCCCTCCGATTTATTATTCTGTAATATTGATTAAAACTAGTGAATAAATACATTACGAAAATTACCTTCCAACCGTTTCCGCAGTTACCAATCTAGTCAAGTTCGTTTTCAGTATTTTGTCGTTTGCCTGAGGGCAATTTTATATAAGCAACCATTGGTGTACTTTTTTCCGGAAAGCGCGAATTACATGAAGGGCGCACAGAATGATCTTTGCATGCCCGTGTGTAATACAGACAGCCGCGCTTTCAGATCGTGCACAGTCAATCACAAATGTTTCTGTCAACATTGTATTTCCGATTATCTCTTTGAATTTATCTAGAATCCATGTCGAATTGGCACGCTCTTCTTTTCATGTTCACACAAACATAACAGTACGTCCTCGACCCCAATTATCTGTCACCACTAACTGGAATAATGAATATCTACATAGTAGAATACAACGAAAAACATATTCCCTTTTTATTATTAGTATTATAGGTAGAATCAATGCACAGAACTTCTGGATGTTTCCTGTACAAATGTATTTGGTCATAACTACTGAAACAAATTCTCGTTAAATATCCATTTTCTAAATGTTCTCTCAGTTCGTCTTTTTGTCGGAGCATATCCATTACCTGCTTCCGAGTACAACAACCTGAAATATATTTACATACACTTACCAGTGGAGAGTTTAGCTTTCATAACTTTGACATCGGCAGCAGTTACCTGCTTACCAGCTCTCTCATTAATACTTTCGATAACTTCATCTGCTGACTCACAGTTCAGTATTACTGGCTTCAAGTTCTTCTTCTGATGACAATCTTCTTGTCCATGGATCACATACCATCCATGAACAATTACATGGATGATTGTGGAGCATGTTGTAGGATTTGATGACATACCCTTACTCCTCTAGTCTTACACGAAATTTAGATTGGCAATTACGGAATTTAGACCTTCAACATCAGATATTAGTTAAAGATCTTACGATGTTTGCTTCATCTTCAATCCTTCCGATTTCCGCTTATGACCAAACGTACAATGAAACGTTACAAACAGGTATTTGAACCTGATATCCTTTAACAACCTGCTTTCCGTGTGGATGTGACGAGTATAAGTAGTCTGAGAAGCGATAAAATTACTACTCCATACATTTTGGAACTCTTTTAAGGCGCTATCAAATTCATCCCGACACGCGAAACGCTTGTTAACTGTCATACTTTGAAAGACATCGCTAAGGTCGACTGAAATGTCACTTGAGCATGACGCACTACAAACAGAGATCATTAATTATTAAAAAGTTATTCCTTGCAACAATAATAACCCAAGGAAATACTACAAATACTTAGGATTTACCTGTGACTTGATATTTCGTTGAGGTTTACTACAGTTGTTGGGACCACAGATCAAATTACAAAGCAACAACAGAGCCAAAGTGCACACTATAAAAAAGAGAATGCTAAATTAATGCCTTTGGTATTTATTTCGTGCTTTTTTATGCAGCATAAGATGACTTATATATGAAAAAACTTGATACTCATGCAATCGAACCAACCCACGGCAACTGAAATACGGAATGACCGCCTCTAGTCAGGCCGTTCAAGATCGTTGAAACGAAAGGGCGGGCACATTCGAAAGGATCTAACGTTTAAACCGTGCCAAATTTGAACCATAGACTTTTAGAATACCCTCCCCCACAAAATAATGTTGGATCTTCATATACCCAATTTATGGATGATGTGGCTTCATTTAAAACATATTTCTCACATTAACTAGAGTAAACGTTAGAAGTAACTTCGTGATAAGGATAAACAGCAGTTGATATGAAATCATCTGAATTGTAATCAAAATCGAGCTCATTTAGTACTTGTGCCTCGCAATGAACAAGTTTTCCACAAGAAACAAATGCATTATGAGGACAAATATTATTTGATAGAACATCAAGATTTGATTCTTCTGAAATAGTTCCCTCAAATTTATTAAGAATGTCATTGCAGAGTAAAAGATCACTAGAAAAATCAGCATCTATCAAGACTGCATCAGGTTTTCGATCACGAATAGGTTCATTCAACATATTTTCCTCAGATTTGTAAGAAATTTCGTCAGAAATAAGTAAGTCACTAGGAAAAACCATATTTAGTACAATAACATGCGAAATCTGATAAGTCAATTGATTAGAAACTGTTGTCTCGCAAGGAATCTGAGTTTCATTTAACTCTGAGCTGCTATGTGACTCTACACTGTCTATTGTAATCGTTGATAAAGATAAATCATCATTGTAAATACTCGACTTAGTAGAATCAGAATTACAAGACTTAATATTAGTTTCAATAAGATGAACATTAGTATTACAGACTGACTGAATATGTCCAATATCACCACATTTAAAGCACTTAGAATTACGAAATTTACATTAATTAAAAGAGTAGAACTTGTCACAGGACAAACATTGACCAAACTTGTGCCCATCTTCGTGAACTGCATCGCAACTCCTCAATGAATTATCTGCATAGCCTTGAGTATGCACTGGATTAGGATGACGCAGTGCAGTGAAGCTTTTTATATCCTCATGAATCATTCTACGAAATCTTCTTCCTTTACCACATTCGAAATTTGTATACTGAACATAGCCTAGCAGTGGATCCTTGAAAATTGTATAAGAAAACGAAATGAGTTTTTCCGGTAAAGCCAGAGTTTTTATTAAGCTGTGTGCTTCTTTTCCGATGAATGTGAGGAAGTGTGCCACAATATTAACATCCTCATCATCTTCCTTGGTCATAGCCCAAATTTCGAAACTTTCAAAGTAATCCTCAAAAGCATCACGATCTGAATGTATATCTAACAATTACATTACAGGCTCCATCGCGAAGCCAATGTGATAATTAGGAGTATTTGAATTATAGTATGAACTAAGAATCCCAGAAACAACGTAATCGGATCAAGAAATACTAGATAAACACGAACGAATATACTGTATTTGGAATTCCAGCTCAAGCATTCAATAAGTACAAAGGATTCATTAGTTCATTCGAACGCCACATCCAGGCCTTCGCTTTGGAATAAGAAGCAGGAAGATGAAGTGGACAGAGATGGTGAGATAGTTAACTTGATTTGATCAAGAGTGACTCGATATTTATAATCAGATAAAATAAGGTCACAAATAATGAATCAGGTTTGCAATTAACACATGCTCATGTAAAAACAGCGAAGGTTAATAAGTGAATAATTAACAAGGTCGAAAAGCGACACTAATGGAATGGATAAATTGGTCAGTCCGGAAGCTAGGATAACCCATGTGAGCTTGGCATGGTACCAGACACACGTTCCTCCTCGTCTTTATACAACTAGACCCCTTTCCGAATATGTTGACGATCCGTTTATACCATACACACAAGGTCATTAGGTGGATACTTCCCATACCTAGTATAAGAACATTTTAAATACACCTTGCTAAAACCGACATTCGGGCTCCAGATTTCTCCCGCTGTTTCATTTTCAGTTTTTTTAGCAATCGTTGCAAGAACCATACCTTTTCACATCAAGCAGCTGTTTACTACAGTTTGGGTACACATTGCGAAGGAAAATCAGTCAAATACATCCGCCCACCAAATATTGAGAATTGAACGTATTTTTTATTTATGGTAGTTAGTTCGTTACTAGCATTTTCGGCGCCCTTGAATTCGTCGAGGTTATCACGCGTTTGTAACCATGACCCAAGGTTTTGTTAGTAATGTTCCTAGTGGATCTAGCGGTAAAGCCAAGGAAGGTCAGTATGAAGATAAAGGAAAACCTGCTGCCATCAGGTCAAGCAACATAGTTGCTGCCAAAGGTATATCTTAATTACGTTTTAAGTATTTTCAGCTGTCGCCGATGCAATTCGTACTAGCCTAGGACCCAAAGGAATGGATAAAATGGTAAGAAATCTTAATATTTTGATTTTCGTAAAGATACAAGAGGCGAAAGGTGATGTCACGATCACTAATGATGGAGCCACGATATTGAAACAAATGAAGCTTCTTCACCCTGCAGCCAAAATGGTAATTAAGTGTCAGAAATGTGATTTGTTAGTTGGTAGAATTATCGAAAGCTCAAGATATCGAGGCAGGTGATGGTACCACTTCCGTAGTTGTTCTAGCAGGAAGTCTTCTTGATGCTTGCTCAAAACTGCTAGATAAAGGTATCCACCCAACCTCCATCTCAGATGCTTTCCAAAAAGCTGCATTAAAGGCTTGTGATATCCTGGAGAGTATGTCTATCCCTGTAGATCTGGGAAACCACGAGGAACTTATCAAAGTGGCTACAACCTCACTTAATTCCAAAATCGTCTCACAACATTCGGATTGCTTGGCACCCATAGCCGTAAAATCTGTCTTGGATGTTATAGACCCAGCCTATCCTAACTCCGTCTCTCTAGATGATATTCGTGTCGTGAAAAAACTTGGGTAAGCTGTATTTTTACAAACGTTTAAACGTGGAGGTGTATCTGACTTAGGTGAAAATGTATACACAGCCACAAGACTAGATGTGTAGCACATGAGTTTAATATACCTGACTATTTGACTGGGAATCCTGTTCTGCTAAACAGTCGCACTTTTGTTTCTTACGTATTCTATAATGAACAGCTGCCGATCATCACGCTCATATTTAGAGTTGCCTTCACTAAAATAATGGATTTGTAGTACAACTGGTAATTGTCTCAACATTCCCGTTAGCTCAAAGTCCAGCATGTGTATAAACTCGTACTTGACATTTCTTAGGAATGGCAATATAAGCGGCTGTACTGTAGGATTTAATTCAGACGCTTTATGGTTTTACTGTTCACACCGATATAAGTTAAAAGTTGGCTTAGCTAACCGATTAAGTCTGTGCTCTTGTATTTTGCCTAGTGCTGTACTGTGTGAAATGTGATTCTGGCCAATAAGACTTCGTTATCTCTCACTGTAACAATAAATCGATGTTTCCTACTGTTTGGTCACAGATTCCACCTACTCCGATCTTGGTACGTGGTTGCACTAAAACCACCCGATTGTTCCGTCACGTTATCTTAAAACTACACGACGCCTATCCCCGTGGCTTCTCTACCAAGATTTTGCTGTCTGAAGAGTTATAATATGATAGCTTTTATGTTCAGTTATATTGACTAGTATTTTCTGGTTAGCTACAAGAGTATTGGTTAACTTCATCACAAATTTCGTTTTTAATATTTTACTCTAAATAATAGAGGCACGGTCGAAGACACCAAGTTAGTCGACGGTCTTATACTCACCCAACGTGCTGAATCTGCTTGTGGCGTTAAAAGAGTAGAGAAAGCGAAAATAGCTCTTATTCAGTTTTGTATCTCTCCTCCAAAAACAGATGTAAGTTGTCCTAATATGCAAAATATCTCTGGTCTTAGATGGAAAATAATGTCGTCATCACAGATTATACTCAGATGGATAGAATCATGAAGGAAGAAAGACAATACATTCTCAACATCATCAAAGCTGTTAAAAAGGCTGGGTGTAATGTCTTGTTGATTCAGAAAAGCATTTTGCGAGATGCTGTAAATGAATTGGCTCTCCATTACTTTAATAAAATGAAGATTATGGTTGTCAAGGATATCGAGCGAACAGAAGTAGAATTTATATGCAAGGTGAGCTGGTTGTTTCATATTAAATTATGGTTCATTAGTTCTTTATTGGTTCTTTAAGTTATATGCAAAGAGATTGGTCAGTCCACTCGTGTTCAGAATCCATATGGTTCCCTTTAACCTGTTTTCCTCAATCATTCTATTTATAACCAAGTTAACTAACAATCTAAGGTTTTAAAATAGAAAATTATTCCGTTCCCAATAAATTATTGTAAGATGTGTTTAGAGTGATAAAACTATTTAACAGTTCACAACGGTCATTAACATTCATAGAAGTATCTCAAGGCGAGTTTTTATGCAACATTTTTTCATGCCTTTCTGATAGACACTGCATTGCATACCAATAGCAAGTCTAGACCATTTCAATCCAGAGTATATGGGATCTGCCAATTTGGTTGAAGAATCAGAGGCAACCGCTCATTGCGTTCACATCACAGGTATTGAGAACAGGGGAAGGACAATATCAATCTTGGTTCGGGGTTCCAATAAACTTATGTTGGACGAAGCTGAACGTTCATTGCACGATGCACTTTGTGTTATTCGATGTTTAGTAAAAAAGAGGTACGTTAATAACTGGCTTTTGTCTTGTCAAAGTCATTTCTATGAGATTAAATTGTATATCATGAAATCCACATTTATGCTCTGTGTAATAGTCTGAGTTAATCTTGAATCCATAATTCCTTGATATAATTCGCAGTTTTGAGATTCATTTCAATGGTACTATTGAAAACAATTATTTACTTCTCGTAACGAAAAAAATATTCTAAATTCGAAACTTTATGATCGCAATTATTTGCAATTTTAACATTTCCATCCATATTTCTAGAGCTATGATCTCAGGTGGTGGTGCACCAGAAATCGAAATTGCCCAGAAGTTAGCTGCATTCGCTAACACTACACCTGGTCTTGATCAATATTGTTTCCGTGCCTTCGCTGATGCATTCGAAGTTATTCCGTACACATTAGCAGAAAATGCTGGTTTGAGTCCTGTACAAACTGTCACTGAACTACGAGCTTTACATGCTAAAGGGGAGAAAAATGCTGGGATCAATGTTCGAACGGTAATTGGCTTTTTTTGCTTAATTGCCGACTTGGATCTTTAGTTGAAATACTTTCTGTTGTACAAATTACGATCAAGAAATCCCGTTAAAATTTAAAATTGTCTAGATGTTGTAAACATCGAATTCTTCCAACCTGTAAATGTTAATTTAATAAATTTAATACAACTTGGTAACCAAATGCAAATTCATGTACTCAAGGTTAAGCCGTTTTTACTTAATACTACTCTAGTGTTCCTAACTGAAGTAGACGAAGTGTGGTCTAAACCTACAAACTAATGATCGGACAACAAGTATTCCAACCGTTATGCCACCAATTGTAAAGTCAGTATGTATTTCTACTTAGTCGTATTTTGTAGTGAAATCCTGTTCAACTTAATAGCATAAGAGTGAATCAAAACATTTTTTCACCTTGATTGACTCAAGGCATTAATGATCTAAATGCATTTCAAGAAAATAACAATTTCTATTATTGATGTTCAACAGCTGAGCTATCAGTTAGTCACAAATGTCCATCATCCTAAGTTGTGACAATGTTTACAATGTATAGATCGATATATTATCTAGATTATCATATGAACGTAATTTAAATTACCTAAAAATCAAATTTAAAAACGTACTCTAAAAGTATGCTATAGGATAAAATATTTCATTGTGGTTATTTCCAGTGGTAGGTGTCTGTGTTACACACCTAACTGACTAATGCTCATTTCATATCATTCTTATGAATTTCGTGGAAATTCTTTTCCCTACCAATGTTCACCACTTCTTTATTATTTAGTTTCTCATTTGACTTAGCATTCTTATTAGTGATAGTGGTCCAACACCTTTCATGATCCTTAGTTAACGTCACTATTGTGTTTTTAGGGCGCTGTCGTGGATATTTTGGCACAAAACGTGATTCAACCAATGCTGGTCAGTTACAGCGCTGTTACTTTAGCTACAGAGACTGTACGTAGCATCCTCAAGATAGATGATGTGGTAAGTTATTTATTCCATTGATATCTTTTAAATTTTTATTAACTAGCTCTTTATAATGTAATTTTTGATCTAGTTCTGTTAGAACAATTCACACAGCCATATTATGTATACATATTATAATGTAATTACTTACCAAATATCATATTCCTTGTATTTAGCTTGAGGAAGTCCTTTTACTCTTGTTTATTCGTTGTCAGTTCTGTGTGATAGTTGTGTTTGCATATCATGATGATCCATTCGAGTTATACTGACCGCAACACTTATTTCTTTAGGTCCCTTTGCTCTTGAAAGATCTGTTGTAGAACCCTAAGACTATAAAACTAAGAAAAGAGGAAGTTGGAACAGGTCCCTCCTAAAGGTACTTCACCTCAACTTTCCTCATGTATTTCCGTCCCCAATACTTAATTCCTTAGAAGTATGGAGTTAACACACCTAGAACTCCACAAAACGACCATGTTTGGCTGCCCTTAAACAATTGTCTTATGCGTTCCACAGTCACGATCCCAAGTCTCCAAAACCACCCTTAACCCAGTTTCCTTAACTCCCTCAAGAAAAAGCATGCTTCCGCGGTGTGCGAAACGGGAGAGGTGACAACCGTCCTTACACCTACAACAATTGTGGTTTATCAGTTTAGGGGTTGTGGAGATTGTTAAGTTTTTGATTGAGATCATTAACCGGTTGATGCTAGACCACCATTGAAAACCTGGAAGCACTAGACCGCCGCTTCGTCCTATTATGGGACTCCTTGACAGTGCGCATCCACGATCCCGCTCGTGGGATTCGAATCTAGGGCCTTCAGTTTCGCGCGCGAACGCTTAACCTACTGGACCACTGAGTCGGCATCCAACGGTGTTAATGTCTAACCTCAACCAATCCACGAAGTTGCGCGACCATCTTCCATTGTACTGAGGTAGATACCTGTCTCTACTCGAAGTGGATTAGCTGCACTGGTCACGGCTTCTCACCAGAACTCCGAGAATTTTCTCACGGAGCTAGTCACTAGTGAAACTGAGGGCCTTGGGTTCGAATTCCGCGAGCGGGATCGTGGATACGCGCTGCTGAGGAGTCCCATAACAGTACGAAACGGCCGTCCAGTGCTTCCAGGTTTTCAATGGTGGTCTAACATTAATCGGTTCACGATCTCTAAAAAAATTGTGGTTTAAGTATGTTTCTGGCCAGTCAGTCAGTCATGTGCAACGTAAAACCTGGTATATAAGTGCATAGGTTCAAGTTGCCATGCCAGTTAGCTTTTGATTCGGGGAATTAAGTGATAATTCTTATCATGTAATTTCTTTAACTTATCTTGTATACAATACATGATATATTTGAGATAAATATCATTTTTAAAAGTTATTGTTGAGTTTTCACTGAGAAGTGCAGCTTTTCTATGATAAAAAACATTCTTATTAATGAAGCCTCATAATTCCACCTTTTTTACAGATCAATGCAATCAGGAATTAAGCAATTTCGTATGGCTCCGATACTAAATATGTGGAACTTGTTGTTTTCATGAAATATAATGTTTTATCGAATTCAGTAGTTATCTTCATATTCAGTCCAAAACTTCAAAGACTCCAAACCTTCATGTGTTACTCACATGCCTTAACATATTTCTAGTGAAGTTGACTAGATATGCAGTATTGTAATTATACAGGTGTTTAGTTTCAACTTTAAAAGTCCTTTTCCCATCTCAATTTAATAACCACATAATCACGATTATAAAAATGTAATCTCAAATCTAATCTACAAATCATCTTAATGTAAAATGATCATTGACCACCACTTGACAAAAATGCTGTGGTTGCAATGAATCATTTTTTATCAGTTCATTTCATTAACCAGACCCACATCATTCAAAAGCTTTTTCACAAGTAACAATTACTCACTAATAAAGCCAGTTATGAATCAGTTGAATGAGACTGAGTATTATTTGCGTTTTAATATTCACTTTCAGATAAACAGTTATGTATTCTATAACCACTAGAGTTATTATCATCGATGTATCTAATTACGTCCTATATTTTAAAAAACATCCACCCATGTTTCAAGCCAAACTAAATAGCCCCAAATACTCGTAGTAAACTAAACAGCTTCCTAACTAACGTATAATTTAATTACCAATGGTACTCATAAAACATATAATTTCCTATAGTAGTACCAAATCTAAAGTATATTTTGATTTTGTTAATACAAAAGTTGCTTTTACAGTTGATCTAGCCAAAGTTATCCAAGAGTATATTTTATTATAGAAAGAAGTTGAGATTTTGCAATGAAATTCCTGTTTTCAGTGGCACGTAAATATACTAAGACGTTTCTATGGTTTGCTTCCTGTCTATTCACAGTATTCTGTCACGTAAACACTAAAATACCATATGTAGTGAAAGTAGCGAATCCTTTTCATAATGACTACACCATAGGAACTTATTGACCAATATTTTGGACATCTTAGCAATTATTAAACTACAAAACTTTTAGTCTTACAGATTTTAGTTCAAAATAAAAAGAAAGAACAACTTTCGCCTGTTAAATATAATAAATTAAGTAGTTGGGATGCCTATAGTGTTTGGTGTAAACAAACTTATCCGGTGTCTAGGGTAATGATATTGTGTGCAGCCATAAATTCCCGAATATCAGTAGATGTGAATTATATGTTTACGTTGGAACTAAGTACTTGTTTTTGAATTACATTAGTTTGTAGTAGCCCCATCGCATCCGACTTCGGAAATACCTTTAGATTTCTACAGTTTATTCCAATTTTTGTTTGTATTTCCTTCGATTTCTTGAAAACACTAACTCTGAAAGTTGTACTTTCGCGCCGAATTGAAGTCTGATTTGCTGCTGAAGTCAGCTTAAAATAAATTCATTTGATAACTTGTGTGTTTAATCATCTAATGGTATGCTGACGTTACCGACCTAATAAGATACGAGATCTGCTGAAAGCGTTTATTACTGGAGTCAGATCAATAACGGAAAGAAAATACTAAAAATTTATCATATACTGAAAGCACTACATATAACCGAAATTAGCTAGTTTCCTTTTTTACTCAGTACTCAAGTATCAAACCATCCATTTCGGATGATTCCATCAGTGAGTTTTTTCGTATTATCTTAGTATTTCTGTCGGCCCCTGGCCACGTGATTGGTTGGCCTTTTTCTTGTAGGTTGATAAATATAATCCATAACAATACATCTGCTGATTGCAAATAGTTGATAACGACCATTCACTTGAAATGTTACGAGAAGAGGCTTTTCTGAAATTTGTGGACTAAATGAGCAGTTGACTTCTACGTGAAGTGGGTGCTGGTGTTGTTGTTCACAAGGACAATGAAAGTTCAGTTAAACCACCCAAATTAGAAAACATAACTATACTAACAACATCGTAGCTACTTTACCTTAGCAGCCTCCCCATAGAACACCATTTCCTAACTCAAACTGATAAGAGTAACGTCCACTATTCGTACCTAAGGTGGACTCGATTTTCAAAGCATAGTGTCCATAACTACAGTTCACAGGACATCTGGATCATACATACATAACCCAGTTCGCCTTCTGACAATCGATGACACAAAACTTTATCGTCAGCTTTTATTTTAGTACGAAAATTTGGGTTGGTAAGAGCCAATATATAGTATCTAAGTAGGATTTCAATAGGCAGTTGACCTACATGTGGTAGTAACCTAAAGGGCTAACTCACATTTGACCATTTAAAATGTTCCCGTCTGGTAAGATTCATAGTTCGTCCGGTGCGTATATTTTCTACTAACACCATCCCATATGATAAAGAAGTGGAGATAATAGAGTGATTATATAACGCCTTGTTAATTCTGAGCTAGTGTTCATTGGTTGGGGTGTTTGGTCGTGATACTACTCACATACTCAAATCAAAGGTAATGGTTGTAATATCAGAACGAAAATTGAAGGAATGGTAATTTCCAGAGTTAGTTGTAGAGATTAGTGGCTGACTTCTAGACTCAAGGGCAGGGCAGAGGAAAGCTAGGTAGTTGTGAACCAATCGGTTACTGGTGCTGATTGGGCGTGCAATTGATTAAACCAAGAAGTAAATGGTGGATGCGAAATAGCCCAAATTAGAATCAGAATTCCGACTAGTGCTTTGTCACGTAATTTTGTTCAGCTGTCACGAGGCAATAATAACTTTCTCAGGCGAACGCTTCTCTTACTGATAGCCTAAGAGATTCATTCATAAGATAGCGATATTTATAATACCTAGTAAGCAAGGTAGGTTTGTACGTCATCCCTCTATCTAAGACCCGGAATCCTATAGTGAGCAGTGGTTTATGGTCAGGGTTTTTAGTGTGTCAGTGAGAATAAGCAGGCTCTCTTGTTTAGTTACTTGAGTACCGTAAGAAATGAGAGCAGTTTTATTAATATAGTCCGAGTATTGATTTGTTCACCTGTACTGTCCACCAATGTCTTTCGCCCAGCCAGTGACATTCCAAATGTGAAATAGCAGCTGAGTGTAACACTAAATGACCATCAACCCAAAACGCAGTTTTCCACGCTCACTCTCCTGATAGCCAGAATAAAGAACTGCTAAACAAGCGGATAGCTTCTAATTATACAGTCCGAATTGAAGGATCACTCATACAATTATATAAAGCAAAATCCTGACCACAAATCAATATGGCCATAAGCGGGGGAGGACTGATTAATAGGGAAAGATAATACACAACAATTATTTTTGTGTCAAACAAAATACCTTAAAGTTAATACTGCAAAGTGTTGCCATTCAATATTACTTCGAAATGCTTAATGGTATAGACACTGCTGATGCGTCTTCCGTTCGCTAATGTATAACCAAGAGTCAATTAAGGTTTTTTTAACAAAACGCTTCATTTAATTCTCAAAACAACTAGACCATTGTAACAACAATTTAAAATAAGTCAATGGTGAGCTAGTTGACAAGCCAACAAACATATTTACACTCTAAGTATCACTCCAAATGTTCAATTCTACAGGAAATATAGCTACTTACTACTCAAGGTTCATAAATAATTGATCCTAAATCAAAGTATTTTGAGAGGGAAACTACAGTTTATCCAGTTCTTATTATTACTAAAATAATTCACCTGTACATATCTATCAGGCTTAAAGTTGTCATTCTAGATTATTCTCCGTTATAAAATAAAATTAATCCATCGTCATAATCCCTCTTAATTTGATGCCATGTATAATAATATTTTTGAATATAAACTCACTGCATGAATTATTTTTTCCCAATCCACTTGGTTTCATCAATACAATATTGAATGTATCTTTTATAAATCACTAATAGATTAGGTCACAATGGCTAGACACTTAATAATTTAGTATAAAGTTCATTACACTTACACTTTGAATAAATACAAATGGAATCTTTAAATTCTTTGTCTATCTATCCAAACAAAAACTCTTCCTCATCAAAATATCCTAATTAAATTTAGATATTTAATGATAATTTATAAGAATATAATAAATCCTAGACATAACAGTTTATTGATTACATAATATAAACATATCCAGGATAACTTCCCATGCAAACCAACTATATATATATATTACTTAATAATAATTCAGTAGTACCACTAACTCACAAGCAAAAAGTATGGCTGAAAGTCGATTTCACAAACATATTTAGTCAATGATTGGTTTTCCACTTACAAGGGAAACATATTGTTTATATTCTTTAAAATATCAGTGCGATGGTTAAAAAATGAAGTGAATAACTCTCAGGTTTATTGCTGATCATCAGTAATAACTTTTTCTCGAAACAGTTAGCGACCTACTAGACAAATCAAAATGATCTAATATGAGTGAAACCATTTCCGTTGATTCTACAATATAATCAGACAGACCAAATGATATCTTAAAACAGTTTGGTAAATCCGAAACACATGTGTGGGAAGTGATCATATATGCACTTTTTTTACCAAATAGGGTAGTTCCATCTACATCTTTCTGTTCGAATTAGTCTTACCATTTATAAATACTTAAGAATCATAATATCCCACAGCTTTATTCAGTGTTTATCCCTTCCTGCACAGAAAGGTTGGCAAAAAGTTCGAAACCCTCATAGTAGTTGGATCAAATCTCATATTACAACAGTGAACCTTTAAAAATGATCCCCGAAGGTAGTTAGAAGTTATTTTTCAAAATAATCTAATCCAGCAGTAGAACCAATTCCACTTGTTCAAACAGAAATTTACTCACTGCTTTCAATCTCTCTGCTACTTACCGTGATGAAAACATATTCATAGCTGTTGTGTGTGTTAGTATTCATAGGAAATTGTTTGATTGGATGTATGTTTTGGAATGAACTTCCGTTATGAACAACAACACAGTTACCACTTCCAGGAAAATGATCGCTATTTTCAGTCAGAACAATTTACTTTCATGTCATGCTGAAAAACTAAAGTAAACATGAAACTGTTAAATTCAATCGACAGAACATTCAAAAATCAGATTATGTACTACCTGTTAATCATCATCGAGGCTCACATATCATCTTGAGGAAAATGACACTCCGTTGTATACTTGTCCACCTCATCCATTATAAGTCAGATACGTTACCACTAAGATATTCAGGTCCTTAGACACTGATTCAAAAGATTCTGACGATTGTCACCATAGATTATGCATAAAGGAGTACTACTGACACATCAAACAAGGCCACAGCGATTTTATGCTAGAAAAAGGCCGTACAGTTAGAGTAGGCCTTTGCAAGCAAACAAAATATTCACCTACCTAAAAGAACACACACATATATCCTTGCCCGAACCAAAATGCAATCCATATCTTCCCATGTGGTGTCAGCAAAATTACTATGCTAATGAATAGTACAGCTCGCCACACAGTCGTAGTCTTTTTTCTTTACAGATGTAAATAGTTAAGCCTCAGGACAGTAAAAGTTCAACACGCGAATCATGCCACCCTGATATGGTTTGCACACTAGGATGGTCTACATTTGCTGGGACTGTTGATCCATGGGTCTTAACATACCATCTAGGTCGGCTGGAAAACAGAAAGACTAAGCAACAGCAACTTAAATCTCGGCTGTACAGGAAAGTGAGAACAGTGACGAGTTTCCCCCAACAACCAATATCGACATCCCTACCTTTCTAACGAAGGGAGGGGTTGAAAAAGTCCCTCCTAGATTTACCACACCATATGTATCTCCAGTCCCTGTGGTTAGGCCTCAAACGGATGAAGAAAACGCATCAGAAACTATTTACAAAACTGTAGGTATCGATACCAAAGTTTGGTTTGATAATTTCAAATAAATCTACAAAACTGCAGTGTGTAAATGACTGTGAACAGTTGTCTATAGGCCTCTGAGGTCGCATTTCTCTGTCGAAAAGGCCACTACTAGTCCAACTTCACCGGGTTCCTCAGGAAGAAGTATGCTTCTTTTTCCTTGTTTGTAACTGGGAATTCACAACCACCATACACTTATAACAGCATGCAAAATCATCTTTTCCAAGAGTGTCATGTGACCTGATTAAGTGGAATGAAATGTATCATTCCTGTGTCGTATGAAAATGATACATCCATGTATATGCTTACATCCCGGGAATTAATTCAATTCGAAGAAATATTTGACAAGTAAAAGCAGAAAGACCATATACTTGATTTTCAACCATTTTATCCATGAATAGTGTTTAATTAATTAATTTACTGTTTACGAAAAACTCAAAATGAATAACAATGTCATAATAACAATGATACCAAATAATAATGTTATTAATTAATTAATAAATGAATAAATAAGTAAATTATTTAATTAGCAATAATGCTCAACTTATTTTTTTATAAATGAAGGCAGAGAAAAAAAAGCAATTCAAAATCAATAAAACCCATAATGATCAAGACA